GGAATGCAGTTTCTCTCAGAAGCAGGAGTCTGCTTGGCACACTCGGGCAGTAGGACTAATGGGTTTTCTTTCTGCCCCCAGCGTGTGCTGTCAGCTGTAATAGTGGCCTCGGTGGTCGGCTTGGCCGAAATGTACGTGATGGTGAGGACCATAGAAGGGGAGCTTGGAGAACTGTAGTGGAGGCTTCCACCACATACTGTGATCCTTCAGCTGGAGGCCACCTTCCTACCCTGTGGGCTATTTATTGGAGGCCACAAACGTGTCTGGTGCTGGTCTGTGAATTCCTTGCAACTGTCATTGCTTCTATGGACACTCTCTCTCCTCCGACAGCGCTCCCTGGCTGCCCGCTTTCTGGAGTGAGGCATTGGGTGCACTGACTGGTGACTGCAGCGTCAAACAGGATGTCCACACAGACCTTTCAGAGCATGCACACAGCACAGGGAGGAGCAGGAGATGAACTCTGCCTCCTCTTCTGGCTCCACAGCTGCTCCTGCTCCTTCTTGTTAGAGACTACCCAGGTCTATCCCAGCTCCATTCATGTCAGGGCCAGCTCCATCTCTGGTAGAGGTCTCAGCACCTGGTTTCTGCAAATGCTTTTTATTCCTACAGGTTGAATCCCACCCTGCCCCTTCCTCCCCCCAGACTGCTGCTTTAGTGAGAAGGGGGGATATGTAAACCTGTTCAGGACTGACCCACCTCCTGTGTTAACGGCCTTGCTTCTGTCCTCTGCACACAGCAGCTCCTGGACATGGAGAAGGCAGTCCAGGCCCCGGCCCTCCACTTGGACAGGGTGACTACCTGTCTACTTCCTGACACTTCATAGAGCTGTTTGCTGTTCTCTTGGGACCAGGGGGGTTGGGATTGCTCCGGGGACCTCTCTCATTGTTAATAAAGTTGAACCCTGCTTCTGACAAACAAAGTGACCGATTTGCTTCTGGACAGGAGTCAGGCCAGAGGCAGGGGCAGCAGCATGGGTGGGGGCTTGCAGCAGGGTTGGGGGAGGCAGAGGATCCCCAAATCCCTCTTGTGCTGTTTTGGGTGGGGGGAGCTGGGAGGAATTACCCACTTTCTCCCTGTGCTATGCAAGATCGAGCTTCAGGGCAAGTCCTGCCTCTCCCTCTGCAGATGTGCACTTACCTTGCTGTCATCTGCTCCAGCCAGTGTCTCAGTTTCCCCTATTGTTTGGAAAGCTTGCCTACCCGGCCCCTGGGCTGTAGCACAAGAGCTGGCTGCAAGAAGGGCAGCCTCTAGCACCTGGTGATCCTATTTGCTGGGCTGCAAATCTCAGAAGCCCTTAGCAATCAGAATGGGAGCAGAACACAAATCCTCATCCCCCCCAAGCTGACCCCCGTCACTACATGGTGTGCTGTGATGGGTCTTCCATCTCGGGGAAAGCTGATGGGTTTGCACAGCCAGCCGGTCTAAGAGGTGAGCAGACCCTGCATGGGACCCCAAGTGGGCAAGGCTGATGCCAGCTACACCCCAGCAGCTGACTGTTCCCTTCTTCCTTCAGGGGCCTGTTGTACAAGCTTCAGTGGAGGAGGGCCCTGGCTCTTCAGCTGCCCTGAGGTAACAGACTCCTACAGATTCGGGCAGTGAGCTGCTAAGAGAAACTGGTCCTGCAGGAAGCTGCAAGGTGCTGCTGGAAGCCTGCCCTGGGTTCCTCTTCCCCTGCCCCAGACTGGGCAGAGCCCAGGGGCTCATAGCAGCACCACACTGCAGCAGGCAGCTGTGGCTCAGAGGCCAATGCCATGGCCTGCTTCCACTCCATCCTCCCCAGCAGCAGTACCCTTGCCTGGGCTGGACAGACTCGCACTGCCTAGGGGGCCATCCCAGACCACCCACCTGCACCCTGGCACTGGCCCCTGCAAGCCATTTGCCAGGCAGGCTCCGACACCAGCGAGATGCAGGGCCAGTCCGCAAAGCTGGGGGAGGGGAGGGAGGGCAGGGCTGGGCCGGGCAAGCCCCGGGCAGCATGCCAGCAGCTCCCCGCCTTGATTAATGTTCTGATGTCGGCTAAGCCCCTTCTAACAACGCGTTTTAATATTTCTGAGACGTGCCAATCTGCCGGCGGGGCTGGGCCGGGCTGCGCGGGCCGGGCCGCGCCGTGGGATTAGGTGGGCGAATCCTGCGGGCCCAGATTAAGGTGCCGCTCGGGAAGATTAGTTGGCATTAGCGCTGATCGCCCGCGCCCCCACTTAGGAGATTGCAGGGCCGGGCCGCT